GACATAGCCAAGGACTCAAAAAAAAGACAGATGGCAGATGTCACCAAAATTTTTTCATAGACCCTATTTAACAATAACATTTAAAGCCCATATGGCTTTAGTAAGTTTACAATAAAATAACTTTTGTGTAAAATACTACGAAAATAATAAACATTAAAAACTGTGATATCTCTAGGACATTCATGTAGTTTAGTGTTTATTGTTTTAGACAATGTTTTTACATCGGAGTGGTTGTAGATTAAATCTGAATTGTCTGCATACATAAATTCCTATATTTTATGAGAAGCTTTTTTCATATCATTAATTTATGTTAAAAATAATAAAGTCCGAAGATTGATACCTGTGAGACTTCGCATACAATATCAAGAGCTCTTGACTCGTGACCGATTATAAACATTAGTTTATAAAAATAAAGCATATTTTCATTCATATTAATATATGCTTTATTTATTTACTTTTTTAATGCACTGTTAACAAAGCATGAAAAAAAAATTGTCAAAAGTTATGTTTGTATCATCTTATAACTATATGCCAACTTACCACGAGAACGGGCAAGTTGGCCAAACTTGAGTTGGGTCAAAATGCTGGAGCAACTTGACTTCACAAAAACAATTTTAAATGTATTGAAAACCATGTGTTTATCACTAATAATGCTATTTTTAGATTTTCTATGGTTTTGTCAAGCTTTTCCAAAAAAAAAAAATCATTCAAAGTTCAAAAAAGTTAAAAGTAAATTAAAAAAGTGGGTCAATATGTCTACCTATTCTAGTTCTAGGAATTAGCCTAGTTAGTTTAAACTTGAAATAATATTGAAAAAGATCATTGAAATAAAATAAAACTTTCTTACTTGTAATGTTATTTTTACCGAGAAACTGAAAAGCTTCTGCCCGAAATGAGCACACTTTTATCTTTTCTTTTAATGTTTCACATGATCGCAATAACCCCATTTCAAAATATCCGTAATTTAAATTCTGAACCCAAAATGCAGCTCCGAAAATTCCACAAATCAAACAACCAAATCCAATTAAATGAAAAGCGGCATTAAATATAATGATTACATCTCTGAAACTAAAGCTTTTCATACTCTATCTTGGTTGAATTTTCACTAAACTATAATATTAAATAATTTTTTAAGAAAAAGCACTGTAAAAAGAAACTGTCATATAAATATGATGTTGCTATCTTAATTTGGTAACAAGTTTTTTGCAAATAAAAATGTGTCAAATTGCATTATCTTCATAAAACATAAAATCAAAATTGAAAATAACAAAAATCATTTTATATATTTAGCATTTGCATAAAAGTTGTACCAATCAATAATGTCATGTATAACCTGTTGTAATACGTTTATCATGTATTTATAATCGTATCATTGTTACCTCAAATATCAATTAGAGAGATCTTTTAATGACAGTTTTGTAGGTTTTCATAATTTTTTAATTTCAAAATAAGAGTAATTGTGTTCTCGTTATTTTGAGGTTATTGGTATTATTACGTATTAAAATTATTTTTAGCTAATTTATTTGGCACGTTTATAATAAATTTGTAAGCAAGAACTTTGTAATGATCTTTTAAACTTAAGCTCGCCATAATATAAAAGTTGCGTTAAAGTATTATTTCACTATTTTCATTTTAATAATAATGACGAAGCCATTACACTTACGCCAGTGTTTTTAGTTTATTTTGTTAAAGTTGCGGCATTTTTTTTATTCTAATAAAGTTATCTATTAAAACAATATCAATAACTGAGGCATAATATAAAAAAACTGAGGAAAAATAATTTTCAAAATATTTCACATTGCTATGTCATGTAAAATATATTTATTTTTTTCTTTTCTAAAGCAGATTTTTTTTTTTCACGTCACCTAAACATCAAAAGCTAGGTACAAAACAGATAATAATTTTCATGGAAAAATGAAAGGGTTGATGTTTTATAATATTTTAATATTTTTATGGGTTTTTTTATCTTATTAAATAATAATATTATTTTATAATATTGCTTTTTTTTATCTTACCAATGTCGCAAATATGCATTTAGCCACAAATGTCCTGATAACTTTTGCGTAATTTTCAAAGTATAATTTATTTTTTATTTGCAAATAAATTTGTTTTAAAATATCATAATAATAGATAAATATCATTATCATTTTTAAATTATAATGATATTTATCAATTGATTGATGATTTTAAAACAAGATTTTGAAAGATATTTAATAAAAATATTTAGCTATTTATAATCTACTTTATTATTATTATTTTTGTTATTGTTGTTATTATTAGAAGTTAAAATTAAAAGCTTGCGTAAATTTTTATTAGCAAATAATTGGTTTTCTACATGTGTAGGAGATATTTTCTAAACTTAATGAAAAAAGAAATTGGCACTAAAAATACTCACAAATAAAATTATCCAAAGCTTTATTCAGACAAAACCTTCGATCTGAAATTATCTAGCCCAGGGTAAAGGTTTCTTTTCCTAAAACTTTACGTCTGATCACGGTCGTTCAGACATATGATATAAGTTGAAAGTTATTTTACGCAAGCGCAGTAATATTTGCATATTTCAAGAGTTTCAAAAATGGCTACGGATACCGAATATAAAAAAAATTCTCATTGACGACGAGCTACTTTTTCTAATTTTAAGCCATTAGATATACATTTAACCGTTTATTATAAGGAAATTATAATAAAAATAACTTCTGGTACATGATGCAATCTTTCAAATAAAATATAAAAACTCTAAAATTTTTTATATTTTATTCAGTTTTAGTAAAAATGAATAAAATGTAAAAACAGCAAGTTACTGTACAAAAAGTTAATGTTGAAAAACAAAATTTTTTTAAAAAGGATTTGAAAACAATAAACAAAACACAGTAAAGTAGCTATTGCTGAGCAATAGCTACTTTACTGTGTTTTTTACTTTTTACATTTTATTCATTTTTACTAAAACTGAATATTGTACCCTCCACCTCCCTAAAAGAACCTACGCATTTAACCTATTTATCAAACATATTATGATATATTTTTTAATTTAGTGTCCCCTTTCTTTTATAATTGACCCACTGCCCTCCCATCTCATATACACCATTTGCAGACCCCTCTTCCCCTTCGAGCATACGTACTTTATGGACAATCCCTAAGTTAAAAATTATTATAATAAATGTGTTTTTATGACTGTAATTAATTGAACTACATTTTTTTACGATTCAAATTTAATTAAATTTTCATATAACTGATTACAATTATCCATAAAAACCTAAACTAAATATGGATTTTGGTTTATTCTTGTCTGTGGAACAACAGTAGCTCTAAAGTAGCAATACCGAATACTGTCAACAATGTTATTAAAGGTGACATATTTAACATGCCCAGAGTAATGCAAGTTTTTTCGTTCTCTAAACGCCTTCATTCCACTCTTATTTGTAGCATATTTTTTAATGACTTTTAAAGTCGCATTAGGAAGATATCCACTTTAATTAGGAAGATATTCACTTTGATCAGGAAGATATTGATTTCCACTTTGCCAGTTACTCTTTAAATCTTGAGGAAATGGAATATGTAGAATATCGTCAACAACTAGTTTCCTTCTTCGACTGTTATTTATTTTATTAATACGATTATCAATGGTAGATAACAATGGTAGGTTTAAAGTTTTTGCTATAATAACTTTTTCTATCTAAAGTGCTTTTCGTGTACTTCCTGAACCAAGCGGGACAACTCTTAATAATAATTACGTTTTTAACTCATCTATTTTCCACTTTGACAAATCTACTGAAGTAAAAATAATATTCAAACAAATAAATAAGAATAATAATCTGAGCTAATGCAATAATTGCTGGAACAACTAGCCTAAATGTGAAAACATCCATACAGGGACAATTAAGAAATTTGTAGGAATCAGGAGTAAGAAAATGGTGATCACGTTTTAATAAATGACAATCTTAGCCGATGCTAACTTTTGAATTGTTTTTTTATAAGGTTTCTACGAGACGTGGTTACAAAAAAGTAATCTAAAAAGACGTAAAGTAAAAGACTCAGTAGGAGTATTAACACTTATCAATATAGGAATATCAACAAGATAGTGATAATTATTAGCAGTACATTACTATGTATAGTTTTTTATTTATTTTTATTATCAATTTATATTTAAATATGATTGTTTAATAAATTAGAATTTCTTTACTTGACACAATATCTTTATTTCGTTTTGTTTTTTTTAATACAAACTTTGACTTTGTTAAACTTTTATATACCCAGACACTTAGTGAAAATTTATTTTAATAATATACAAAATAATAATATCGCATGCAGGTATTAGGGTAACGTCAGGGAATTCAGATGTCTGCAAAAAAAAAAAAAAGAACTCTCAGGGAAATAGGGTTGAATTTAGGAAAAATCAGGGTAATCGCAGGGGAAATAGCTAGATAGATACGACTGATAGATGTCTAGCCGGCTAGACATCTATCAGTTGTATATTTTATACATAATGTGGGCAGATGACCTATTATTTTTTTTAATTATTATTTTTATTATGACCTATATATTTTTTTTTTTTGCAATAACAAGGTGTTTTTCTCAAAAAAATCAAGTGCTTTTTTTCTGAAGTTGAATTTTTGTAACTATAAATTAAACCATGGAAACAGGTCAAGTTCAAGGAAATCAGACACTCTGACATCATATGCGCCCTCAGCACTATGCAGGTGCAATTGCACTGTGACCTAAAATTAAGGGTCCTCTAAGTATTAAAAAAAATACTAGTACTAGAAGCAACAAAATGTTTTAGTGTTAGCAAGATTTTTAGTTATTGGGATAAATAGTGACGGATCTAGGGTATATACGGTTCAAGGCCGATGACAGGCGTGGTTTCGAAAGCCGGGTTTCGAAGTGGTGGAGGGGGGGGGGTCACGATCATCAATTTGTAAAAAAAGTCCTTCATATCTAGATTTTTAAAAAAGAAAAAAAAAGTCTTTTATCAAAAAAGTGAGGGTTACACCCATCAAAACTTCTTGCACTCGGCGTAGTTAAGGCAACTTACAAATTTTTCGAATACCTTTATTTGAAATTAGCAGTTTTTTATTACCGTATTAGGTCAAAACAAAAACTATAGACGGTATAATTTTTATTGCTTAAGATTTTTTTAATATTTAAAAAACCTTTTTACTACCCGTAAAAGTGAATCTAAAGAACACTAATTTGAAGTCTTTAGATCAAATCCGCTCATCGGTATTAACATGAACTTAATTAAAATCTTTGGAAAAAGTTCCTTAATTTATTACTGTTCCTAGTTCTAATCGGTTCTGACGTATATTAACTATATATAGTTGTTAAAACACAATATTTCTATCATTTTTCACAAAAATTACGAGAATTCCGACCGAGAAAGAGCTTATTATTATGAAAAATTGCCAATAAATGATCAGAACAGATCATATTGTTAAACTATAATGTTTATTTCACCTAAAAAACGTATTAATTTAAAATCTTATTCAAATTTGGACGAGCGATTGTGGTTTTTAAGATGATTTTTTTTTTTTAAAAAGAATCTTTTTCTGGGTTTTTTTGCTACAAACATTTTTATTTTATGATACTGCAAAATTTGTAATTTTAATATTTTTCGTCTTTTCATAATTTACAGACTTGACCATTTAACGGAAATATGTCGTAGTCAATAAAATATCTTACAGAAGCTATAATATTTTTAAGTGCCTTAACTACAACGAGCATCCGTCACTAGAAATAAATATAAGTTCTTGATACTAACTTTGTCGTTAGCATCTACTTTAACTAGATAATTGATAATTATAGATTATATATTAATTTGATCGCGCAAATAGAGCGATACTACGCAAAATTAGATTTAATTTCTTTTTCAATAATTTTTATTTCTAGAACTATTTCCCGTTATATTAAAAGAACGTAAATATATATGTTCGTATGCACACGGTACAACTAGTTCAAAAAACAGTATTCAAAATAACATCAAAGAACAACATTTTATATTGCTGTTGCTTTTACTAGAAGTGGTTGCAGATTAACAATGGCAGCAGCAATTATCCATATATCATCTATTAGAGGGACTAATGTAATAAGCAGAGTGTTCTTTAGAAGTCAAAATTCTTTTA